GCACAGGTGCTGTAAACAAAGATGCCGACGGCCTCTATGCTTAGCCGGGGATTAGGTCGGTGATTAAAAGGAAAGAAAGGGATTCTTTCCAGGTAGCCTTAATAAAGGCAGGTAGATTTTGCTCGTTGCAATCACTTCACCTCACAAACAAGCACGTCCGCTCAGCTCGGCTGTTCGCACTGAACTGGGGATTTCGTGCGTTTATAAATATAGAAAGGCGTAATCGCACAAATTTCACACAACCTGTACCATGGAACGGCTAATTACTCTACTGTTGACGGTGTAGTGTAGTGTGGTTGTGTTATGTGTTGTGGTTTGTGTTATCAAGGAATCAAGGTGACTGGTGAGTCGGTGACTGTTTAGAAATAGAAACCTCGGTGTGGTATGGTATGACCACATACTTCTATAGAAGTATGTGGGTATGACCAAAGTGAATTTTGATAGATTTTCAGTTTTGTATTTTGTTATTATTTACCTGTGATCTGTGATATAGAAGACAGAAAAGGCTGTAAGTCCTAGAGCGAGATAGGAGATCTATCATCCCAGTATTTCAGTTTTCAGTGCATTAAAAGCAAGAGTAATATTATCACTTTTTCAAACTTGTTTCATATCAAAGAATTATAGTATAGGAATTTATGACCTCACCGCTTGCTTTCAGAAATTAGTAATCGTTTTCTCTTCTTCGACAGGGTAAGTAAAAATCACAGTGAATCATTTAAGTAGGTACATTTATAAACTTTTTATTTGCATAGCTTGCGATAACCTAATTTGATATTAAATTCATTGTTCTCTGTACAAAGGCTTTTCAGGCGTGTAAATAATTTTTGTGAAATATATATTTTTAATTGAAATCTAAAATTTTGTATATTTTTTAACTTTCTTCTTTGTCATTACTTTTTCTGTGAAATATATTTGTTTCTGCAAACTGTTTAAGATTATTTGACACTAATAAAAAAGGTTAATTGATATTTTCATGAATTTTTAATTTAAAGCAAAAATGAAGGTCATATTAATTATTATTTAGTAAATATGTATATAATTTTTTTACTACCAGCAAAATAAATTTTAGGTTTAAATATGAACGATTTAGACAGACAGCTGGCGGAGTTGGCCTTAATAAATCAAACTGAGTTACAGCCCAGTTCAAGTAGTACACCAGGAAAGAAAATTGGGCCCGCTGTACCACCAAAACCAAAAAAGAGTCAACAACCACAGGTAATCCCATCTGGAAACAATGGTTATGATTCATAAGTTGCCACATAGGTGCCATTATCAGTTACTGATATTTTGATCATTTCCTATTTTAATGCATTACTTCATAATATCCATTATCCATAAGAAATTATCTTTGTTTATAGGATTAGGAATTTTAATGATAGAATGTAGAATGTTGTTTGTTTATTGACCGAGATATTTTATGATGTGTTATTAATTAAGGGTCAATACACCCTACAACCATGCATTGGGGACAGTAATATAACGATAACATTTTTAAAAGCCTTTGGCTACAATGTTAAAACTTTAGTAAATCACAGAGAAAAAAATATTTTTTAATTTTACTTTTATTTTAAGATAATACAAAAAATATACACGGTTATTCCAGATACCTCAGTCATACCCTTTAAAGCAAACGGTTGAACCGAGCTACGCTTCGAGGTTACAAGCCAACCAATTTTATTCAAATGTACCTCCACCGAATCCACAGTCCCACTATTCTAACACCCCCACTCTGCCAGCAAATACGAAATTCCGCCCGCAGCACGTTCAAGATAGCAACTACGTGAATTTGACGAGGGAAGGTGATCACGCTAATCAGTATTCCAACCTCCCCAGAAGCGGTTCGGCCATGAGCAGTGCGTCACTGCCACGACAAGGTGAGAATTGTACAGCTTTGATAGAACGTTTTCGCTGATTTTCTTTTTTTTTTAGGTAGTTCAATGGCTAATTATGGATCCAGCCTTCCGCAGACTTGTTCTTTACCAAGACAATGTATGGGTTCACCCGCAACTGGTGCTAATCACGCTGTCAACACCTTGGGCCCCAAGGGGTACACGAAACCGGATCATGTTACGTACAGCAACATACAGGTTTGAATGCGAGGTACCTTAACGTTTGTAGCATCAAACCGAGTAATATTTTTTATAGATCGGGCAGTCCAGAAACCAGGACGGGATCATCTACAGCAATTTGATCCACCCACCAAGGGACGGGGGCAACGTTTATAGTAACGCTAGTGCATACGGAAATGGTGGTAAGTAAAAATCTTATGACGTAAATTTTCCAGTATCACAATAGTAGGCGATGTTTCTTTTCGACGCGATTCTATTAATTATCGTTTACAATATCGATTCTCGGCATCACAGCATCACTCACCGATATAATCGCATTTTGTGCTTAACGTTTCTCTTCCAATATTCTTGATCTGTTAAATTTGTTTGACTTCTACCCTGATTGTGAGATTGGTGACTTAATTCTTATTCGATTCAATTTTTAATAACAGTTATTGAAATAACTAGAATACATTTTTCGCATTTGCACACATATGACATGTACCGACACGCCTCAGCTGGAAACTGAGGCACGACTGGATTTCATGATGTGAAATCATGCAACATCGGTCGTCTCTCTTTTTGTACACGATAGATAAAAAGACGGAAATAGGCATGAGGGTTGCTTTCGCTGTACCTACAGCAAAAATAAAACACTCTCTCAACGGTACGAATAAAGTATTTTTATTGAAAACGAAGCTTGTGAAAAAAAGACGTGTTGTCGGTTCGAGCGTTTGCTGGAGAGTCCCCCTTGGTGTGGAGTCGCTCGCAGAAGTACTTGGTCCTTGGCGCCAATCTGACGGGGTAGTCTTCCGGGAACCCTAGTGCGTCCGGGCGGCGTCAAGCTGGTGCTCTTGACGCAATACTCAAAATGGGTCACTTGCGAACATGTGTACCCACAGGCACTTGTGTGAAGATTGAAATTTATTATTAGTCCAGTCGGTATCTGTTTCGGGATGGATGTTTTATATAGTAACCCTAATTTTTGTTGGAAATAGTTCTAAATATTATGTAAAATGATAATTGCAATATGCGCCCGCTGAAAAAGTTTTAGATTTTATCCATTTTAGCAACAATTAGAATTTTTTCAAAATTTTTACCTTTATATCACGAATACGCTCCTGCAGCAATTGAAATCTCAAGAAGTAACTATCACAAGCTACTGTCAAGGTTGTTTTACAGCAAAATAATAGCGATTATATTCGTTATCTGTAGTAGAAACTGACAAAAAATTTATTGAATTTGCACGAATGAATTGTGCTGCTCCGCTCGCATAGTTCCCCCCACTCCACACTCTGACTCTCTGCACGATTCCTGTAAAATGTATCGATCTTTTTTGCATCAGAATAGTTAAAAATATATTATTGATTTAAACAAATTTTCATACTTACAATGTCTTTGCTTCAATCAAAATCATTGTTGTTTTGCCGTAAACTCATTTCAACTTTGAGCTTTCATATCTCAATGACGATTCATCATATCCACAAGATCAAACATGGATTTTGTTCGTCAATCCTTCCTCTATTTGATCCCATAATTACATTTGAAGAATGTGCAATTACGGTAGCTCCATCTCTAAATGTTTATAAGTACCAATTTTTTTGAAGAAAGTTTGAAAAAATTCTAATTGTTGCTAAAATGGATAAAATTGAAAATTTTTTAATGGGAATTGATAGTTGAGACTCCAAAGGGTATGTATAAAAATTGGGAGCTCAAAATAATCATTGGTTTTACCGTGAGAAAAAAATGAAAAATAAGTATAATTCTGTATTTTCTTAATTAACAATTGAATCTTGAATTGAATCTACTTGGCCGATTTTGATTAAAAAATTTCTACAATACTACCATATCATGAACTACTCAGAACCATACTTTTTATATGGCTGCTCTAAAGTCAAGGTCCGAAATAAATACATGAAAAAAACGTCTTTTTTCACTAATTTTTTTTGGTCTATACGGTATTGCAGCAACAATAATGCACATAAAAATTTCGGACCACTTTTACTTTGAAGAGACTCAAAACGAAACTCTTTTTCCTTTGACTATTTTCTCTATTGTCAATATTCTCCGAGTTATACATGAAAGAAGGGAGGAAAATGCCCCTTTTTAATTTTTTTTTACATTCTCTTGCGCTAACATTTATGCACAACTTTTTCAGCGGCCGTATATCCCAATTAACATTTTACATAATATTTAGAACTATTTCCAACAAAAATTAGCATTACTATATGAAACATCCATATAACCTGCTTTTAAAACAGATACTGACTGAACTATATGTGAAATGAACGACAATTGAAAATTTCCATCCACAAAATTATTTTATTTGGTGGTTTGATTTACTCTTTCAGTACTGGAATATAATAATTCTTTGAATTATTATGTTTTTCTAGACGATTTGCCGCCTCCACCTCCACCTCTGGACATGTCCTCTGGTCTAGCAGACTATGCCCCTTGCACGGTAAATACAAATTTACCGCCGCCACCGGAGGATTTGCTGCCCCCTCCGTCTCCGGTTAGTTCCAGTTACAGTGAATTGAGGAGGGCTACCCAGCCGGGGCAGGATTTCCATAATTATAGTATGGAGTCACAGGTAAGTTTCGATAAAGTCTGTTCTTTGATGTGTTTCGTGAATGTTGTGCTTAAGCTTTCCAGGTGTTTTTTTTTACAGTGTCTGTCGTTTATATGAAATAACAGTTTTAAGGCGATGGATAGTAATGACAATTTTTTGTAAAAATTAAAAAATTTAAATTAAAAAATCATTAATCAGGCATAAAAGGTAATTTAACCGTATTATTTGTTTTTTTTTTTTCATTTTTATGAGTCATTGTTCTTTTCCGAACAATAAATATTCCATATTAATTAAAAAAAACCTTTGTTTATTTATTTATTATTTAAATATTTTGTTTTGAAATTAATTATTTTTCACTTTTCTGTTAACTTTCAATTTTTTTAAGACTGATTTTATTGTGGCGTAGTGCATAGATCCATCTACATGCGATCTACGGAACTATGTAAAAGGAAGCTTTCCAAGCGACCGAAACAAATTTTATCAGCATAAGTGTATCTACGATGAAGTCATAACGTTCTACGTACAGTGAGTTCTTTCTAGTTGTCATGTAGACGCACATTGAATAGTGTACAACAATCAAGTTCTATTTTAAAATCGGTAAAACTTCCACGGGAACATATTGACTATTACAAACCGTATGGTGTGTTTCTTTGGTAGGGGAGGGTTCGTGATGGCCGAGACAACGTGCACGATGACGGGCCATCCCCATACAACCGAAAGAACGAAAACATTGAAGTTCTGCTCTGAAGTCCGATCGTCGGTCAATCGGACATTATCTGCCAACATTCTGATGGTTGATCGATGATCAGACTTCACCGCAGAGCGGTGCGGGAAAGCTCAGTCCTCTCGTCGTTGTGCCTAGGCCATCACGATACCTCCCGAACCACAGGAACACAGTTGGATGTAATTGTTCGGTCGCTCGGAAGGCTTCCGGCTACGTAGTTCCGTTGACTGCACATGGATAGCGCCACGCACTTCGCCACAATATCAGTCTTAAAACTTAATAATCGGACCGTGTATAACCGTTGCACTATAATTTTGTATATTAATCATACTTTTGTGTATTTGCTAACCAGTTTGAAGATACAGATTCTCTATATGGATGCGGATCCATGTCACAGGTAACGTCATTTCGTTTGGTGTTTGTGTTGAATGTTGAATATTGTATAGTGCAGATTTGTCTTATTCTATTGTCCTTTGTATGGTTGACGATGTGGTATTAATAGTTTACGTTGTTATTGTCCTATTTTTTGCATGTTTGTCTCTCTTGTCTTATCCGGAGCACCGTCTTTATTTCTTTCCTTTCCTCCAGTGTTATGGGTAGTGTTTGTATGATTACGATTTTAATTTGTGCACCAGAGGAGGTAGGTTCTTGTAGTGCACAGGGTATCTAGAAAAAGAAATGATTTTTCAATGATTAGGTAACTGCAATTGTTGATGTGGTTAGCACTTGGGTTTTTTTAGAGTAATTATTATTATTTTTAGTCAGCAGGAAACTTCAGTATAGTAAATATGTCTGCAATTTGCATTTTTTTCTCTGAATTACTTGTGCGGATATATTATTATTAAATAAATGAAGATCGACCAGCATGGAATTTTTTTTTCTGTTCGTACTCTGAAGAATTGCATGTTTGGTATTTTTTTTTTACAGGATTTTTTATTGAGTTTGTGATAGTTTTTAATGAGTTTTCCCTTGCGTCATTTTGAGATGATTTATTCTAGAGGCAGGAAATTTTTTGAAACTGATTTGTGTTGATCCGATTAGTAGATACTTATTAAAAAAATTAAGGGATTTATATTGACAATTGTAGTTTCCAAAAATTCTTACAGATAATAAATTACAATTTTTTAACAAACGGGTACAAAATAATTATACGTTTGGAGAGGGAAAATTAATATTTTCAATAATCGTAACATAATTTTTTTTATAAAGTAATGGATAACGAAATTTGTCGTTATTAAATAACACCCCCACAAAAAAAAAAGTGGAATATCCGAATCTGGTGTTCATTTGACCCGATTAGCTCTGGGCTAAGGTCAGTTCAAGGTCAAATGTAGATAATCAATTGCCAACAAAGTAAACCAATATATTTATACATTTTTGGTGTCACTGAATGCGAATTCGGGGTCCGTTTGACACGATTAGCTCTGGTTGAAGATAAGTTCAAGGTCAAATGTATAGAATCAATTGCCACAAAGTAAACCTCTATATCTGTGTATTTTTGGGGTTACTGAATCCGAATCCAGCGTCCATTTGACAAAATCAGATCTGGTTTAAGGTCAGTTCAAGGTCAAATGTAGGGAATCAATTGCCAGTAATATAAACTAATATATGTATACTCTTTTGGGGTCGCTGAATCCGAATCTGGTGTCCGTTTGACCCGATTACCTCTGGGTTAACGCCAGTTCAAGGTCAAATATAGTGAATCAATTGCCAACAAACTAAACCAATATATCTATACGTTTTTGGCCTCGCTGAATCAGAATCCAGTGTCCGTTTGACCTGATTAGCTCTGGGTTAAGGTCAGTTCAAGGTCAAATGTAGAGAATCTATTGCCAACAAAGTAAACCTATATATCTGTATGTTTTTGGGGTTGCTGAATCCGAATCTGGTGTCCATTTGACAAAATCAGATCCGGTTTAAGGTCAATTCAAGGTCAAACATATTAAAATTTTAATAACAAATAAGATTAAAGACACAAAGCTTTAACTCTGATCCTGTGACTCTCGAGTTTATTGTTTTCACGTCAGAATTCTAGTATCAATAAATTTAATTAAGTAAGCTTTAAACCAAGGCATCAGTTAATGCTGCATGTACATTAATTCACACAGTGAGTTTTAACTTTTGTGGTATCGGAACTATTTTATGGTCAAAAGATCTGCGAAATGTATTTCTTTTACGTTTTCTCGAATTCAATGGTAAATCTCGTTTTATGGAGTTTACTTTGTTAGCAAATGAGATTCTATACATTTGACCTTGAACTGACCTTAACACAGACCTGATCGGATCAAACGGACATTGGATTTAGATTTGGCGACCCCAAAAACGTATAGATATGTAGGGTTACTTTGTTGGCATTAATTTTCTACATTTGACTTTCAAGTGACCTTCAACCAGCGCTAATCGAGTCAAACGGACACCGGATTCGGATTCAGCGACCCCAAAAACATATAGTTACCATGGTCTTGTCTTTCGAATATTCCACTTTTTTTTTGTCATCATAATTAATTTCTATCATTGACAGTTCCTCAACTAAATATAAGGAACATTTAGCTTGCCCCTGCCTGTTGTAAATGTATTGGGTGTAACTAAAATCCTTATCACCTGAATTATTATTATTATTTTCAATATACTTTGATATCATGACACTTTTAGCAATAATTACATATGTATGGTTTGATATCTTACCAAAAAAATTGTAGGCAAATTTGACTAATTTCACTGTGGCATGTACAGTGTTTGTGGACAATCAGAAACTCAAGCTGCGCATGAAATTTAAATGAAATTGTTCCAACCGTATTCGTGTAATTGAGAAAAAAAACACCTTTTAAACTTTTACACTCCATGTTTTGACATTGAAAATTTTTTTAGGCGCATGTTTATAGGATTATTTTCTGTTGTAACTATTTCTCATTCAAATTTGACCAAGGACTTTAGTTACACCCTGTAGACTTTTCCTAGTGTTACCCAAGGACTCGCTGGTTAGAATTTGTTGTTTTTTTTTCTGTAGGTGTTCGGGGCATACGTTTATAAGAAAATTACAATTATTTGTTTAATTTTCTACCACCCTGTATACTTTTGGGTACCCACGGGGCACAATGTGTATTTTATTTATAGTTTTTGGTGACTGGAGACAAGTAAAAGGTGCTTCCAGTTAATAAATTTGTTTATTGTAGTCTTCTTCAGCCTACGAATCCATCTACGAACCCATCTACGAACTAATCAATTTTACGTCTTCCAGTCGGATGTCTTCTAATCGTTCCTCTAACACTCCACACGTAAGTGAAGCACTTGTGTAATTGAGGTATACGATTGACGATTATAAAGTATAGAAGACCAGTAATAGTCTTCTAGTTGTATAGAGACATCATTATTTCTCATAATCTTAGCAAATATAAATATTGCTTTGTAGTAAGTGTCATTTCTGTTGTAGTCCTCTTCGACTTATGAATCTGTCTACGAATCGATTAGTCCTAGACCCCCAAATCCCTCGACGTCGAGAATTAATCCTTTAAATGCCTCTGACGTAAGTGGTGTCAACTATTTTAATAATAGTTTTTGTCTCCGCAGGAAGAAACAAAAACCATATAATCAACGTTTATTTTGTAGTGGTCCGATTATGAAAATATGTACGCACCGATCAACGTAATGCCTGCAAATCGGGCATCGAGGTTCGATACCCTGCATGTGCCCTGTGTAAGTGGGGCTGGTATAATATATCGTATTTTTTTTTGTTTTACTTCAATCAGATGGGGGACTTCCGTAACGAAAATATTTGTTGTAGTCGTCTTCGACCTACGAGTCGATCTACGAACCTATCAATCCCCGGCCCCCGAGTCAGATGTCTTCCAGGTCTAACTACTCCCTGTACGCGCCTTACGTGAGCGGTGCTAGCAGCACCATGACTGGACCGAGTCAGTCTGTCAGTCGCATCGGTCACAATAAGGAACAGGAAGTCGACAGCCTCACCGATCTCTTGGTGCAGGGAATGGGCGGCGTGGGCCCCGATACTGATCAGGAGGATGTGTACGGGGTGTGCGTTAAGTGTGGGGAGAAGGTAAGTCGTTAAATAAGTGCATGTGACTAGATTGTCGGACCAAACCACGCAACACACTGCATTATAAATATTGGCCGCTAATAATGACAAACGACCTCAGGGCTAACTATTGGAAAATTTTTATGCAGAAAAATTTTTGTGCAGACATTCAAGTGAAATTGATGAAAAATTTCCAAAAAAATCTTTCATTTAGGTTAACTATACCAAGAGTTTTCCAAAAATACCAAATATATAGTTATTACTACGCAACAAAATTATCGCAACAAAAGTTTCAACGAAATTTTGTCATTTTTCTAATGAGCATATTATTTCCATCAATTTTTATCGCATCAAGACGATGTTTTCTTCATTTTGTAGATAATTATCTGTGCTTTAAGAAAAGATATATGCGAAATCGATGCGAGTCGATGTCCCATCTCCATTTCCTGATAAAGTCCAAGCATTTCTTTTCCTTAAAAAACTTGATTGCTTGGCATGCGTTACCTGGTTCGCCCCGACTTTTTTTGAAAATAACACAGACGATCGTAAATTGCATTTTCTAACAAGCTATTTGGAATAAAATTAAGTCTACGTTTTTTTTTACTGAGATGCCATTTTGATGTTATTTGTGTTTCAAGCAATCAAATTTTTTAAGAAAATTTGAGCTTTATCATGACATGAAGATGCGGTATCGACTCGCATCCATTTCACATATAGAGATAACTATCTATAAAATGAGAAATATATCGTCTTGATATGATGAAAATTGGCAGCTATGCATATTAGAAAAATTGCAAAATTTCTATGAAAAATTTTGTGGCAATAATTTTGTTGTGAAGTGTATATTACATAAATCAAAAGGACGTGTCTATAAATTCACATCGTCTAAAGATACTCTTGTCAGTTTAAAACAAAAACTAAAACGAAAAGTCAAAAAAGTTTGGATATAAAGTGGTTTTTGTATTTTTTATTTGTCTGATTTTTTCAGTAAAATTTTTTGGTTGGGCAAAACTATTTTCATAAAAATATACCTCGACTGATCCTTTTGGCGCTACGGTTTATTTCGCTAATTTTTTAAAATTTTTTTGCAGGTGGCAAAATACCCAAAAAATATCTTCAGATAATATCGGAATAATTTAGATTTTATTTATCTTTTGAAAAACAGAATATAAGAAAAAATGAGAACCGATCTTATTGTGTGATTCCCATTTTTGTTTTTGTTTTTATTTCATAGATTGTTGGAGAAAATAGCGGATGCACAGCAATGGACCAGTTGTATCACACGAAATGTTTTACATGCCATCATTGCGCGATAAATTTGCAAGGAAAGCCATTCTATGCTCTCGACGGCAATCCTTATTGCGAAGAAGATTACTTGGTAAGTGCATTTTCAGCTTTTAACAATATTTAATAAAAAATATTTGAAACAAAGTCCCATATTATATGTACTGAAATTAAATTATAATTTTTGTTATTTTAGCTAGATTGTAGATTAATAAGTAGAAAAAAACGGTAATTGTTTTGTCGATTTTATTTTGACATCTTCAGGGATATTTTTACTTTTTTTTTGATTAATTCTTTTGTTACTGCGCCCAAATAAAAACGCCCGAACTGCTTTCTCCTTCCACGTTTTGACCTACATTTGGCTAAAACGACAGTAAAAACGGGTTTATTAAGTTAACCTACCATGATATAAATTATTTTGCTTTACCGCAGAACACTTTGGAGAAATGCTGCGTGTGCCAGAAACCCATCCTAGACCGCATCCTGAGAGCAACCGGGAAGCCGTACCATCCGAAATGTTTCTGTTGCGTCGTGTGCGGCAAGAGCCTGGACGGCATTCCGTTCACCGTCGATGCCACGAATCGGGTGCATTGCATCGAAGATTTCCACAAGTGAGTACAATTTTTAAACCGGATTAAAAAAAAACGAATTAAAACCCGACGCCATGCTTTGTCCTTGTGATCCTTCTGATTTAAATCCATTAGACCTCATTTTTCTTGTGAATTCGGCTCGAATCTACTTATAATTAATTTTGTTATTAGAATATTCGCTCCGAGGTGTTGGGTTTGCAAGCAACCCATTATGCCCGAACCTGGAGAAGAGGAGACGGTACGGGTTGTAGCTTTGGACCATAGCTTCCATATACAGTGCTACAAATGCGAGGTAGGTGGCAATAATAATAATATCTCTACCTCTCATTCTAATCGCAACGATAAGCCAAGAAGTTGGAGATTTTGTGTGGGGGAGGGGATGGCACATATTATTATTCAGTATGTTTATTTTTTCCTCAAAAACGGTGCATCCGACGAAAAAAATTTAAGAGACCAATTTCATTCAGAATTGATGGCGGATTTCTAAAAATCTATCAAAACGGGAAAAAATTGGTGGCGTACCATTTTTTTTTATTAAAAAAGATTGTGGCATTCTCGGAAGAACTCCACTGGTGCAAACAGAAATATTCGGATCACCCCAAAAAATGCACATTTATCCTTCCAAAGCGTCAAAAAGTGTTTGAAATAATTAATAGAAACAACAAAAAATTAAAATTTAAACATCTCGGAAATGAAGCATATTTCAACCTACTTTTATATGAACTTTTTTTCACAAAATAACTTCGACAACTACCTCCTGAAATATTTCGCACTTATTTGCAAACACCCTGTATAATCGCTTAGTTTATTTTCACAAGTACCTCGTATTTTAATTTTATGAGCGATCATAAGTGGACCTGTTACGTTATTTGAGCTACAACTACGGGTTACTTTGTAGACGGTTATGTTTTTTTCCCCTTCCTGAAATTACGCCTAAGAAAATATTATTAGCTGTCACTTATATCTTCGAATTAGAAAAAAAGACCCTATTTCTCGAATCTATAGACCTATCAAGTAATACTATCAATCCTCGTCACCCCTGCCCTGAACGGGCACTGCTCCGTCACTAACTGAAAAGGCAGGACAATATTCTCCTCCACCTCCTCGACAGAAAGCGCAATTTTTCTTTCACTTCATTTTTTCATTCTTCATTTTTTCGTTTTGAAGTTATCTGAAAAATTGAAAAATGGAAAAACTTTTTGCTGTGGACATTGCTAGGACATTTTTTTGTATAGAATTCTGTACACATAATCGTATTGGTCGTGTCTCGTATCAGAATGGGTAAAATGACATGCAACATTTGTTTTTATGGGTCATATTGGATTTTCACATTTTTTAATACATCAATTACAAAACACATTTTTCCAATTATGATGTGTGTCATATGATATCGCTTACTTTTTGTTTTCGTCAAAATACTAAATTATCCATTTTTTCAAAGAGTGCTCTGGATCAATACATTACATTCGGCTGTTTTGAACTACTTTGAACTATATTTGACAGTTAAGTTAAATTTTCATTGACACTGTCAAAGTTTAGAGAAATAAAAATGCAATTTTCATATGAAACAATGCCAGATATCCTACAAATGATTTAATAAATATGTTTGAAACATATCTCGAACTTCTTCATGTGAAAATTTCATTTTTACATATCTAAACTTTGACAGTGTCAATGAGAATTTAACTTAACTGTCAAAATTTTGTTTGAACACGGATGTAATATTGTTTTCAAAGCACTCTCTGTTAAATATGGATAAACTGATATTTTGCCGACAACAAAAATGTAGATTATATCATATGGTGCATCATCGAAATCAGAAAAAGGCACTAAATTCAAAATCCAAAATGGCGTCTATAAGAAAAAGAAAAGTTGCAGGTTGCTTCTCCATTTTGGTAGACACTGTGCCTAATTCGACTACATATTTGAATTCCTCACAAAAAGTATTCTAACAATGAGTTTAATAATCAAAATGTTTAGTTTTTTGTCATCGATAAATTGAGGAAAAAAAGAGGGTAAATTTCTCTTCAGCAAGTTTTTCGTGATCTAATTCGGTGATTTAGCCATAATTTGACAGACCCAACGGTGCAGCTCAAAAATCGATAAACTAGTGGATATTCTGTATACACTCAATGTTAAAAAAATGGCCCTGTATTATGACGGTATTAAGTTTGTGTCACCAAATTTGGTTGAAAGGCCAATTTTGGGGGTCGTTTTTAGAGCACTATAGTTTTTTAAAGTTTCGAAGATCATTCGTTTCATGTTAGATACGACCCACTTTGGGCTTTAAATTAATATTTGGTTCGTTTGATGGTTTTGTCCATTCGAAGGTTGCGACTAAAAGATTTCATGTTTTGGTCGCATCTTGGTGTCTTTTATAGACGTACGTATTCACATTAAAATTTATATTTGGTTGTAAGAACTGTATTATTTGTTTAAAGCGGTACCCACAATATTTTTTAATTATTTCAGGATTGTGGCCTGGTGTTGTCTTCAGAAGCCGAAGGCAGGGGTTGCTACCCTCTCGACGGCCACGTTTTGTGCAAAAGTTGCAACGCTAAACGCGTTCAAGCACTCACAAGCCACATGACTACCGAACTGTAATTTTCCTTTCTGAGGCACGTTTAGACGTTGCGCCTAATCGGTACACCGTACACACGGACCGATCGGCGAACTCAGCATGTGCTTGATGGCAGTATTTATTTCAAGGTACGCGTTTGTAGGGATAAGAATTTTTTTTGTTATGCCTTGTAAGATGTTTTATATTTTCTTCCGGGTTTCATTCATTTTAAACTCACACACTGAAATTTTAGACTGGATAAAAGTACAAAAAATTTTTGCAGACATTCCATTTTGTATATCAGAACTGTTTTTGACGGGTTTTAAATTTTTTAAGGAGTATTGAATTGTATTTTTAAATTAAATCCATAATTTTATTAAGTTAAGAAAATTCTAGCACAAAGAGAACAATAACTGCCAACATAACACACAAACATTGTAACATTGTGATTTTATTCAAACTTTTTTATAAACGTTTTTACTTGGCTTCGCTATGCTTCCTAAAGCGAAATTTTTATTCACACTTTTTTAAATTTTAATGGGATGTTGAATAAGTTCTCGCCATTTTTTGTTTTCACTGAAAATATTGTCCATCGATAGCTGTTACTTCGTCTCATCTTTTTGGCAGTGTTTTAATTCCACGTCGGAAAATCGTCACGTTTTTTTGAGGCAATCCAAGGGCCGACCCATTTTTTGACATCTTCATTAAAATGGAAGTGCAACATGTGGTTGTCATGCTGCAAAATCACTTTGTCGTGTCTCTGCCGTTTTTTCTTCAATGCTCCGATCAAACGCATAAATTATAGTCGATAGCGATCTCTCTTGATGGTTTCGTTCGCTTTGAGCAGCTCGTAATAAACTACACCCAGCTGATTCTAGCTTTGCCGACGATGTTCACCCATGGCCAGACTTGCCCCACGATTTTCTATGCTTGGGATTATCGTAGCGTATCCATTTTTCATTGCCAATTTTCAGTCCAATACAATGCAAAAAACCTTTCCTTTTCTGCCGTTGAAAGAGCTGTTCACACGAGCAAAGACGCCGTTCGACATCTCTCGGCTTCAACTCGTACCTAGCTTTTGAATCATTTTTAATGCTCTCAATCGTGTCGAAACTATTGTGCGATCAACTTCTAATGATTCTGCAAGTTCCGTCAGCATCTGACGTGAGTCTTCACGAAGTAATGCCTCCAATTCTTCATCCTCAAACTCTTTTGGGTGCGTCAGAGCTCTTTTTATTTTCAACATCAAAATCATGATTTTTGAAGCGTCTAAACCAATCTCTGCATGTCGTTTGCGACATAGCACGGTCGTCGTAAGTCTCAACAAGAATTCGGTGTACTTTAGCTGCAGATTTCTTTTGAATAAAGTAATGCAGTGGAATTCCCCGCAAATACTCTTTTTTTGGTACGAAATTCGATCTGTTTAACACTATGAAAAAAAAAGTAGTCTACTCTTTGGCGAAATTTCAAGCTAGCTTAACGGTACTTCTGTATAGATGCGTTACAATCTTGAACTATACGCTTGTGATTCCGGTAGCGCCATGTCTTGGAAAACGGCGAGAGCTTATTCAACGTCCCATAAGTTAATGCTTTTTTAATGAGCGATGTGCTTTTTTTTTATCTATAGTAGACTTAGTACTTTGATATCTATAAAAAAAAATGTACGCTTTTATTTTATCTATATGACTCAGTAATGGACTACTTTCCTTTTAGAACTCTAGGTTTTAGTTAGAAATTCTGGTCAGAATGTAATATTTTGTGATTTTTTTTGTTGTAATTAAGTGCCAACGAAATATGTATAGAGGTATAAATATATGTAGGGCTCAACCTAACTGGTGGTTTTATTAAGAAAAAATATCAAACCTTTCATCCTTTCCTATACGAGTGGCGATTCTATTGTTAGAGATGGGCACTTTTCGGAAAAGTGTGTTACGGACACGTCTGTTAGACATGTCGATGAAATGTCCGGACATGTCGGGAAAAGTACTTTTGGCCTTGATTCTGATAAGGCACCTATGAGTGACGTCATGTTTTCACAAGTCACTGGTTGAAGGTACGCAAAGCAAAATATTACTTTTATTCTAATGAATACGTGTCGATGTATTTTACTTATTACCTACCTTTTGACTTTTATAGACTGGTTTCTAATTTTCCCCGGACAGCCAATACACTTATTTAAATGTTTTTCCATCCTACTGGAATTCTTAAAAATTGTTTTTGAGCAGAAGTTACATTACGATTTTTACTCAATTCAGAAAAATATAACCAAACTGTTGATTATGGCGTAATACTTCATTAATAAACTATTTGTGTGTTAAATATTAAATTATGAATCAACCGATTACTATTTACTAATCGTTAACTTTGACAAAAATAATAAAATATGGACACAAAAGAGGTTATATTTTTAAATGTCAGTTTCAGTGAGTGTTGTCAACTATTTTAAATTGCATTATCGTTTGTAGCGGATTAAATTATTGTATTTGGTTGAAAATTATCGTTTTCCTCTTCTTCTTCTTTTTTTGGCCTTCACCTAGAGGGTATTTAGCCAGCTGTTTAGAATTTTGACGTATTTGTTTAAGATCAGTAGTTTTAATTAAAATCCCTAGATTATAGGGACTTTTCTTCTTTTAATGTTGGTTACATCATAGGTTCAAAATTTACACAGGGTCCTGCCGTTATTAAATGATGTCATTTATTTATTTATTTATATTAATAATTGTACATTAATCAGTCCGCACAGAATCCAAATGAACTAACTTAAAATTATCGTATTTTATGCGTACGATATTTATTATCGTATATAGTATAACGTCTGAAATTATCATATAAATACGATAATTATCGTACGGTTGGCAACTCTGGTAAACAATTACCAACAAAATTACAAGAAAATGGCTAAAATATCTTTAATTTTACATGTACTAACCTCAAACATTTTTTGCGGGAATTATGAATGTAACAAATAATTCTACGCATGCGCATACAACTTTTCAGTCTTGAAAAGTGTCTTCAGGACGTCCACTTTTCACGACATGTCCGATGGACATGTCCAGGTGACATGTTTAATTATTGTGCAAGTAACATGTTTTGTGTTCATTTTCACTTTATATTTGAATTTAATAGACGATTGCATTATTGTCTGTAATTATTTTTCTATTTAGGATACCTTCATAAATGATTACAAGCCGCGTGACCAGTAATTTTTTTTGGAACAGTAATTTTATATCCTTCAAGTTGGAAATTAAATTTCGGCAAACTTAAAACAATAAGATCAAAATTACATCAAGAGGGCTCTATAGCAAATAAGCAACCAGTAATACATTTTTATAGATTTTACTACACAGTTTCTCTATAAATATGAATTAATGTACAAATAACTGACTTTTCCCCATCTTAACGCAGATTTTCTATAAAATGGACTTAGTTTGAAACTCGAATTGCTTTTTGTTGTAAAGCGGTATCGTAAATTACAAATTTCTTTCCACCAAAAAGTAATTTGAGTTTCAAATGAAGTCCATTCTATAGAAAATCTGCGTTAAAATGGGGGAAAGTCTGTCATTTGTGCATTAATTTATATTTAGACAAACTTTGTAATAAAATCTGTAAAAATGTATTGCTGGTTGCCCATTTGCTACAGAGCCCTCTTAAAATGAATTTGTGCATGTTTTTTCTGAAAAATGTACCGGCATAAAAAATCAAAGCGGGCCATATGTTCATGGCAATGGGAAACCAATAGTTGGCCTTTCCCACAAAAAAATTGTGTCACTCGATTCCTTTAGCCTACTTGTATTTAAAGGGCTGTTGGCATAAAAAACATATGCATAGGAAGGTGAAAGAAGTAGAAACAGGGGCTAATGTCATTATAATCTTTGTTTGGTCCACCGTATATTAGTAAGTCAATAAAAGAAAACACAACAGTGTAGTACTGGTTGCCTAAGGTAGCACTAAATTCTTAAAAACTGCCCCTTTGTTTGCCGTGGTAAAGCAGGTTGTAGTTTTATCGACATGTCAATGTCAATAATCAATAACTTTTGTGGGGGTGGTGGGATACGTTGTTGCAAGAAAGTTGATCGAGACTTTTTATGTTGAATAATAAAAAATGGGGTTGTTTTTCGTAATTATCGATTACGTTTGTGTTAGCGCACCTGCCAAATTTAAGGTTAGTTGAATTATTTACCGGCCCCCATATTTACGTAATATCATTTCATGAAATATCGGCTTATCCGCTTTTGTGAGGTTATGTTGAAACATTTTTGTTGCAAACGCTCATATGTTTAAATAATTGCCATGAGTAGCCACAATATTTATCAAAACGTGTCGGATAAGTTTTTATGTAACAGTCCTGCTTGTTTATACATTTTTTATAGTTGATTTGCTAGTTGACTTGTATTGAATAAATCCTTCATTATTCCGCTGATGTTGCAAATAATTTAATAATCACCTTGAACTAATAAATTCCAAAAGTAAAACACTTCGTCAGAAGTGGCTAGAGATCCAGTGTTTTATATTTCAATAATTTACTTGTTGATGTCGAGCCGGTTACAGTAATTAATCAAAAATATTTGTGCTTACACACCAGACTATTTACACTGAACTGGGATCAATTCGCTCACTCATTTAGTTTTATTCGAGAACGCGTGCTATTTTATTTGTATATATCGCGTGTCGGTGCACGATGATATAAATTGTGATTTAACTCGAATTGTAACATTTTTATTAATCATTTCATCAAATGAGAGCTCTCAAGTGGTGTGCGGTTTAATCTTGATTCAATTTTTTTCTTAGTTCATACAAAAGGTGCCTGGAGTAGTGGGAATATCGGTGGAAGTAAAAAAATGATAAAATTTTAATTTTGAATTTTCCGTGAAGTTGTTTTTTTTCAATAGAAGAAAAATATGGCTGAAGACAAAGTGTACAGTAGTGACCTTTCTTATCCCAAAGAGGAAAAAAAGTGCCTAATTTACAGAATTTTTGGTAAGTGTTTGATTTTATTTCATATTCTATAAATATGCATTTGCTGCCAAATATTTTGTAGTAGTTTCCTACTTAATACAAACATAACTTTACAATATTTATAAACATTGCATATTATTTTTTTAAATAATTGTTTTAATACCCAAATGTTATTAAACTGTTACTAAAATAATTATTCCAGCTTGTCCACTAAATTGCTCTTCACAGTGCACCAAATAATAATAATTGTTACACATTTTTCATCATCATCACACCAATCTCTTAATTTGTGTTTTTTTTTTTTGTATTTTTTCCTATTGCAATACATTCATTTGCTATATTTACTTATATTTTTTGAAATCACCTATTTTCATGAAACGTGCGATAATAAATATATTTTTAATACCTATGGTGAAGTTTACTAAAATAAACAAATAAATAATCAAAAATTGACAAATAATAGTAATAATGCATAGGTAAGACAATATGCAATTTCTTTATAAAATGATTTGCATAATTTCTCAATCAAATATTGCGAAATATTGCAGAAATAAAAGTATCCTAATTTGTTGGTCATGTGCTTATATATACAGCAGCAATGTAAAATTAATATTAATTTATCAGGATGCCAAAGGTTAAAGATTCATTAAAGATCATACAATAGTCTGTTTAGCATACAAAAAATTTTAAAATATTTTTTTATGTTATACCCTGCGACCCATTAAAAACCGGGGCACTTTTGTATTTCTTTTAGGATTTGAATGATATTTGTCTTAATATACAGTAGCCTTCTAGATCTACTTGCTGAATTATGTCTTATCATCCAATTGGCAATCCATGGCCTGCTGCAACTTTTTTGCAAGATTACTTTGAAATTTATTTTTTTATTAATATTCTGACAACGTATCTTTACTTTAAAAAAACTATATATCAAATTTCATTGCGTTATATATAGTAGATACTTCTTATACAGTTTTAAAGTTTTAAATAGATGAAGTTTTTTTTCAATGTAAAAATCTAGTAGGCTTTGCAAAGAGTGACCGCAAAAAAAGCCACTTTTCCGCCTGTTTTTGAGACTTTGACAGAGGCGACAGGGAAAATCCTAAAAATATTCTAAAAATATCCAAATATTTGTCATGAAAAATGAAAATGAGCATCACTTTCAGTTTTTCGATTTTTCGATTTTCGAAAATCACCCTTATTTGGGGGTTGAAAAGACAAAAAAAGTGAACAAATTAAGAATCATCAACAGTTGTAAAACCCCAAATATTTCTATGCTGTTATAGTCCAGTCGACAGAGGCCGAAAAGTTACTGTTGGTGGCATTTTCTTGATAACGCGGAAATAACTACACAGGAATACTTTAAATGATGAGTACAATAACAGGCTAATTTGCTGACAAAGTATTTTATCAGGAAAAAAGTTATTAACAATTTAATCGTGAAAAAATTTTTTTTTAGTAGTGTTCTTTAAATAACAGCGGGATGACTTGTACGAAAAAATGCTTAGGATATGATTTTGTTCGTAATAAAAATAGCTACAAAATGGCGGTGGTCCGATTACGAAATTTGCAATAACAAAGCCGTGAGATTGAAAAAAACGGCATAAAACGTCAATTTTTTAAAATTGCCGTAAAATGTCAATTATAAACAAAAAGTGATAAAACTTTCGAAAACTATAGTTCAATATATATATACAATAATGACGCTAAAGTCGAAAATCAGGAGAGCAACACTTTTTGTTCTATAAGGTTTTATACATCCATCGGCATCTGAAACCAAATTTGTTTGAAGTTTTGCTGACACTTGAAATTCGGTATACACATACTGTAAATATGCAGAAACCAAAAGCAATTTGCAAAATTCAAGAATCTTCATTTTTGCAGCTTTGGTAAGGTTTTATACGTCACCCTAGTTTTATACGTCACCGTTTTTTTTTTTTATTTTTGGTAAAATATGTATGTATATTTATAAAATATTCCATCACGGTAGATTAACCAGCACAATTACCTACAATTAAAAAAAAATTAATTTTCATCGTTTAGATCCTAAGCTACTTAACATTTTGCGCCTGTTAGCCGTACTCGTACATTATTCAACATATCAACATAAAACAAAATCGTACGTGTGGGGTAAACCTTTAACTTTTCATTTTCGAGCGCGAGCT